ATAAAGGTATATATACCTTTTTTACTTTACTAACTACCTAGTAGGCTTCTATAGTATTTCTTTATATAAGATACCTATAATCTTAGTATTATTCTTAAACTCTTCTAATATAAAATTTATACCTAGGTTATATATAATATAGTCTAGTAGACCTATATATATAGCTATCTAGCACTTTAAGAGAGTATTCTAGGTGTCTTATATAGATAATAATTTAAGAAAAGTTATACCTTAAAAACTTATTTCTATATTAATAATATATAGTATATTCTTGTCTTTAAGTTATATAATGTTTATAACTATCTTATAGTTAAAGTAGCTCTTATCCTTAATAAAGAACTTAAAATATTATAGTACTAGGTTATATAATTAGTAATAATAATAAAACTTCTAGATCTTTTCTAATATTAATATATTAATATTATTATATCTAGTGTTCTTTAGGAGCTAGTAAAGTTAATCTATATAAAGGTGTCTAAATATCTATAAAGCTTTAGAGCTACTCTTTAGTAAAAAAGGTTAAAGCCTCTATATAACTAAGGTTAAAGAAAAGGTGTCCTTATTTTTATATAATAGGTATATATATACTATCTTTTTATATAATAGTGTTAGTAATATTATTAAAGTATATACCTAGTTAATTATATTATATAATAAAAATAAAATAAGGTTAAGGCGTTAAGATATAATACTTAACTATTCTTAGCTAGTTCTTTATCTCTATAGTTCTTATTAATATTATAGAGTTATTTACTTAAATTATATATAGGTAGAACCTAGGTTCTAAGAGATCTTTATATATAGGTTCTCTCTTAAGTACACTAGTACCTAGGCTTTCCTATAGTTAAAAACTTAGCTACTTTAGTATCCTATAGTTCTCCCTAGTATATTATATAATAAGGGTCCTTAAGTAAAATTAACTTACTTTAATAGTCTTTAGAGCTAAAATATATCTTTACTAGTTATATAATAAAAGAAAGCTAAAGTTAGTAAATACTAAGAGACTTCTTAGTTATCTAAGAATTATTCTTTATTATATAAGTTATTATTCTCCTCTTTCTCCTTTATAGGGCTTTCTCCTTTACTTTAAGGAGATAGGCTATAAAGTCTTTATATAGGTCCTAGGTAATTATTATATACCTAAAGGTATTAAGTCTTTATATATTATATTTTTCTTTATATAGTTAGTTAACTAGTATTTTTCTTCTTATATATAAAACACTTCTTAGGTATATTTATATAAAAAGGTCTTAGTTAAAATAGTTTATCCTTTTCTCTCTATTAAAGGATTAGTAAAGTAGTTAATTATATAAAGGTCTCTATTATAGTTTATCTTATAGTTTAAAGTATACCTTTAGTCTATAAAGTTAATATTATATAATATAGTCCTCTTGTCTAAGGTAACCTATAGAGAAGCCCTAAGATTAAAGAAGAACTTTTATATAAATAGTATACCTTAAGATTACTAAGAGTAGTCTCTAGCTCTAGAATACCTTAGTAAGCCTAGGTAACTTATATATAAAGTATAATTTCCCTTAGAAACCTAAACTAAGTGCTTATTATATAAGAGGTAACTTGTCTAGTAATACTTCTAGTACTTCTATTAGTGTCTTATCTAGATTCTCTTATTTAACTTATATAAAGATATAGTAGTCTAATTAGTCTAATAAAGACTATAGTTAACACTAGTATTAAAGTATATATCTAGTATAGTATATATTTTATTTACCTTTATATAGGTCTAATATAATAAAGGTAAAACTCCTCTATATAATTAGATAAGATATCTAGAAAAATAGTATAGTATTAGTCTTCTATAATCTAGAGATAGTAGTAAAACTAATAAATACTTTAGCCTTATTATAAAGTATATTATATAGCTTTCTTATATAGTTTTTCTTCTTTTTTTAGCCTTTTTAGAAGACAAAGATTATATAAGGTTTATATAGTCTATTATTAATTATTTACTTTAGTAAAAGGTTATAGATATTCTTTAGGGTATAAGTATAGTTTAGCTTTAAGATCTTAGGAAACTTTTACCTCCTAGGTAAGTTATACTTTATATAAGGTTATTTATATAATAGGCTTTCTAGTCCCTTAAGCTACTAGTGTATCCTAGAGTTTAATTAACTTTATTAGTGTCTTAGCTAGGTCCTATTATATAGTAGCTTAGGGATTACTAATAGTAGTTATTAGTATATTTATTATATAACTACTAGACTTCTTCTAATATTACTCTTAAAGTTATTATATAAGGTTAACTACTTGTTATTCTTAGGCTTTATCTTAGTGTTAATAAAGATCCTCTTTTTATAATTTACTAATAAACTCCCTAAAGTATATATAATATATATACTTCTAGTAGTTAGCTATCTAGTCCTTAAAGTTAATTATAATTATACCTTAAGTTAGTGTTAGTCTAGATTTATATAATAATCTAGTATATCTTATACACTAGATATATTATAATCTTTTTCTAGGATAAGTTATTAGTAAGGTCCTAATGTTTAGTCTAGTATTAAGGTAGTATTTAAGATCTCTAGGTTATAATTATAATACTACTACCTCTAATATATCTTTATATATAAAGATATATTCTTCTTAGGTAGGTTCCTCTCTAGCTCTAGGTGTTCTATATTAATATATTAGTAGTTATTTTAAATTATATAATATCTAGTTAATAAAGGTAATATACTTATAGTAGTAACTACTTACTTCTTGTATATATACAAGAAGGTATAGTCTTCCTATTCTATTATATACAGGGAAAGTAGTATAAGTAGTTATCCTAAAGAGTAGTTCTTTAGCCCTCTATAGTTAGGCACTATATAAACTAGATCTTTATATAAATTATAACTTATCTTAGTATAAGGGGTTATAATAAGGAGTAGTTCTTTAGCCTTCTATAGTTAGACACTATATAAACTAACTCTTTATATAATATAGCTTAACTCTTTACTTTTACTAATCTATAATTACTATATAACTACTAATTAGTGTTAAATAGGCTTTATATATATATATACTTAGTAAAACATAGGGGTAAATTAACTTCTTGTTAGGTAACTAAAATAGGTCTACTCTACTATTATTATATAAAGTAGTTATATACTGCTTAAGTATAACTTAAGTTATTCTAGCTAACTAAAAAGTATAATCCCCTCTTAATATAACTAAGGGCTAAATAACTAGTCTATGCCCTTTAACCTTAAATTATAAACTATTTATAGTTAACTAACTAGGTGTTATATAATTATTAGTATTAATATTCTAATAATAACTTTACTTTTTAACTTAGCTTTATTATAGTTCTTACTAATAAATAAATTATTAAGTAACCTACTACTAATAGTAAAAGCTTTAAATTAACTAGTAATATTATTTACTTTAGCTTAATAAAGTATAAAAAGTTATATATAGTATACTTACCTCTAAGGTCTATAGGATAGTTACTAGTGCTAATGTTACCTATATAATTAGTAATACTCTTATAATAATTACTAACTACCTTAAGCTACTATAGATACCTATAATACTTTATACTAACTTATACTTACTTAGTACTATAAAGAAGAAGTAACTTATAATAGATATTATAGCCTTTTACTAGTTATATAAACACTATAAGATTTTTAAAATATAATAGATTTATAGTAGTAATAACCTAGTAAATAGATTTATAAAGTTATTACTAAATAATATATTAAAGAAGCTAGTTAGTAACAGGTAGTTAGAGATATAAATAAATAAATAGGTTTCTTATATATAATAGACTATATAAGCAAAAAGTATTAAATACTTTTTAGCTTCTTGTTTTTATTATGTTTTTTAGCTATTCTTTTAGATATAAATAATAAGGGATTTCTAGTACTATAGAAAGTTACTAGTATTATAATATTAACTATTATAGATAAATATTAGAGTTATTAGGTTAACCCTAATAACTTATTGCTAGTAAATCCTTAGATATTTAGCTATAGATTCTCTAAGGATTTATAGGTAATAAGTTAGTTATTTAACTAACTAACCTATAATAATTATCCTTCTTTTCTTTATATATAATAGAGAACTATAGTTACCCCTATTATTTATTAATTGCTACTAATATCTATAGTTAACTATATTAACCTATCCCTTGGTGTTACTAATAATAAGGTTATATATAGAATTCTATAGTCTATATACGCTTTATAAATTATTATATATACTTTACTAAGGAGTATATCTAAATTATCCTATATTATCTTTATATAACTTATACTATAGTTCTTTTGTTCTAAGGAGTTATTTATTAGATAACCTTGTTTATTTTCCTTAGTATAAAGGCTATACTACCTATGCTTTTAGCTTAGTAGGGCTAATGTTGCCTATAACTTATTAGGTTATAATAGTAGTATACTTACTAAATTAATATACTTACTTATTATATATATTGGTTATATAACTAATCTCTTAGTTATTACTTTTTAGTAAAGTAATATTTCTTATGTTTTATTTAAACGTAATCTTAATATTTATTCTTTTAGGAAAATATATTTAAAACCTTAAATATTTTCTACTTCTAAGTAAGAATCTCTATTATAAACCTAACTCTCTAATTACTTAAATATCTTTTAAAGAGAGAACTACTTTATTGTTTATATAATATACGCTCTATGTATAGTTCCTATAGTAATTTAATATATTTAATAATATTTAATTTTATATTTCTTAGGGAGAATTTAATGTATAAGACAACCTGTTTAGAGTATTTTCATAATATAGAAAAAAGTGTTATTACAGTGAAGTATAGAGTACATACTCATCTGTATCTATTTGGCTGGACTATTATAAATACAATGGAGAGTTAGTGTCTAATAATACAAATGTAATTAATTTCTAAGAAGTCTTTAACAACATAATCAATATGTATGTGCTTGGGTCTTCAAAGTTTCAACTTGGTGATGTTAGTCAAAAGTATATTTACTAACTTAGGCCCTTATTTTCTTGAACCATTTTCGGCTTCATACACGCTGAGAAATGAAAGCCACTAGAGATAAGCAGAACAACTTATGTCCTTAATAAAGAATTAAGCCTTACGCGATAGCTTTAATGGACTGCCAAATTAACCACGCTGACCAGGCAATTGGCACTGCTGCAAGCCTCAACAACCATACCACGTTCCCTCCAACCCGAAGCAAGTCCAACCCCGCCAGGACTGCTGAGCAAAGCAGTGAGCTGATGATCTGCGGGAGCGAAATGGCCATATTGTGCAGCCCCTGAACACCCGCCACGCCAATAGGTATCTCGGCAAGCTCGGTGTTGATTAGCGCGAACGGAACCCACATCGTCACGGCCTGGGTTGCGCCGATGAGGAAGAGGAGGACGAGAGAGGCTGTGGAAGTTTGAAAGGGAATCGTCAGGAGGAGAGAGATCGTTGCGAGAAGTTGGGATAGCAACCAAAGGTGTGGTAGGTTGCCGGGGTGGAGTAAAACGAGGATGTGGGAGACAAATGTCAGGAGAAGGGTAGACAGGAGGGTTCCCGTGGAGTAAGAGAGGGATGCGTAGAGAGAGTAGGATTTTGCTCGGCTCTCTAGGGATGAAGCCTCAAGGCCAGGAGTTTGAAGGAATTCAGATAGTGCTAGTAGGTGTCAATCTTGAACAGAACGAAGTATTTAAAGGGGGAAATTGGGAGCTTACCTGTTTCGTATGCGTATCTGTAGGCTACGTTAGTTCGTCTCTGGATCCGGACAAGACAAGGCGGGCAGTACCTACGTAGACATGTAATACAACACGGGAAACCAGCCAAGCCAGGCAACCAGCTGCACACCGCAAACTCTCCCCGTCAGCGGCGGCAGTCGCCGCCAGCGTTGGGCCAGCTCACCTGGCAGACGCATGGCGCAGACCCGCTGGATGCTGGACCCGGATTTGGGCTGCTGTAGAGGTTGCGTGGCATCGTGCGGCACGAATCGACAGACCAGCCCGACAGTAACGGTAGAGAAGATGAACGCGACGCACGCCAGCGTGCGGAACGTGACCACAGGGTCAGCTTCAGAGGATTGCATGGTAGAGACGAAGCCCACAACGGAGAGAGCGGCAGACCCGAGAACGTTCCAGCGCATGGACCAGGCGGCAGCGACGGATTGTTGGGATTGCGGGCAGATGTCGACAACGATAGCGCGGACGCCAACGGAATAGGCGGTTAACCCCAACAAAGTGATCACCAGACAGACAACGGCCAGTGCAAGCGGCTGCCAGGGTCTTGCGGCCGATGTGTCGGTGAACGGCGCGGTGAGGTCGGAGGCGCAGGTCATTAGCAGAATGGAGATGACGGTGCTGAGAGCGCCGACCACCATGACGGGCTTCCGGCGGCCGAGTGGGTGGTGGAGCTCGTCACTCAGCTGGCCAACGATGGGCTGAACGAAGGCCCCAAAGATAGGGCCTAGGCCCCAGATCAAGGCAATGAGAGAGGGGCTTAGCCCGAGGGAGCGGATGTAGGGCTAATCATTTGTCAGTGATCACTCCGTTGGTGATGAGTAAGGGATGGATGGCACACGGTGACACTTGATTGTAGTAGAAACCAGCAGACTTGGAGCCCGAGGCTGGGACATGTTAAGAGAAGAAGACGACGTGTGGATAGTACTGGGTGCGGTTCGAGGTCGTTCTCGAGCTCGAATAAGAGTTGTTCATGTTCTTCGGAGGGGCGGCTTTCTGTTGGTGTAAGGCATGGTTCCTCTGTAGGTGCAGCCATTGCTGGACTGGCTGCTACTGATGATAAGAATGACTCTGTTTTGGAGCAAGAGAATTGTTTACTTTGAGGAGCCGGTCTTGAACCAGTGTTGTTACCCGATCGCTCCGTTCTAGATGCAGAAAAAGACAGGGAGGTCTTGTCGCCGTCTGCTTACACCGCACCAGCTGCGTAACAGCAGAGTTACTCTTTGCAGTTTTCCGAATGCTTCTCGAATATTCACTTACTGCATAGAAGCGTCTAAGGGGGGGTCCCTGCCAGTGAAGAACCTACTTGTACTATGTACCTTTATGAAAAAAAAAACAGAGAGTTGACAGGGTTCAGGCCAGTCCAAGCCCACAGTGAGAGGCAAGTCACTTGAACTGGGTGCAAGGTACGATGCCAGTATCGGGCCAACACGACTTTTCTGACCACCTACTCAAAGGATTCCCCGCCTGTTCCCTCTCAGATTATACTCGTATTGTGTTCTCTTCTTCATGTTTCCGGTATTCCAACGACTGCCAATCATGCCTTCATCCGAGTATCACCAACTCTCGACGTCGAGAGAGGACGAGCTGGACGTTATTTCTCTCACCGACCAGGAGAAATATATCCCGAGAAGGAAGAAGTCTATTCTCGCTTGTTTTTTGTGGCTGCTGGTTGCGCTTCTGGGGCTAGGTTTCTACACGGCGGCGGTGCTCTACTATGCGCAAGAGTTCATCCACAAGCCGTACTGCCCGCGGTTTGCGGCGAAAGACACGGTTCACTTGTGGGTGAGTTTCCTCGGGATGATTGCATCTCCTTATTCTACTGCTGACGGTGTTTCTCCTCTCTGACATAAAATGCCAGGACAAAATCGGGTATAAGCCTGCGCCTTTCAATCCAGCCACGCCACACCACTCCGACCCTTTCCTCGGCACTCCAAGCGCCGAACTTGACGCCAACTGGCGCAAGCTACTACTAAGTTCGAAGTCTTTCATCGCGCATTTTTGCGCATGTTTTACACAACTAGACAGACTGACTTGATGCAAAGCCTTCTCGAGCCGGCTCCCCAATTCCGAAGCACAGAGGCTGGGGCCCGATTCGGACGCCATTCCTTTCGATGACGGCAAGGGCGGTTTGTAAGTCTAGATGGATACACCGCGATTGAAGGAGATATAATGACATTTTCAGTGTTGGCGGCATCGCCGTGGTCCACAACCTACACTGCATCGTAATTCAATCCCAGTTCGTCTGCTGCGGTGCTAATCAGCTAACACTTCGCTTGCCAGAACTACATCTACCAGACAATACACGAAGACTACTATTTTCCCAACGTCACGGAGAAGCAGCGAGATAAACAAAGAAGCCATCTTTGTAGGTCTTTTGTGGAATAACTGGTGTCGATGATGGTGCTGACCATTGTTACAGCACACTGCCTTCATCACTTGATGTCCTCGGCCAAGTGCCAGGCTGACATGACGCCGGTGCTGCTCCACTGGACAGCGGACGACCACGTCCCGGTTCTGAAATGGGACGGCGTGCAACGGTCCTGCGTGGACTGGGAAAGCTTAATGAAGTGGGGGAACGAAAACTCAATGACGCACTCCGAGACCATGCCGTCAGTTTCTAGTAAGCAGCAGCATTTCGCTTCCTCTTTCTCCTTGATGCCACCTCAAAATCATATCTTTCTAACTTCGCAACCAATTGCAGAGATGAAGCACCCCATCTACAGTAGGATAACCCTCGCTTATGCTTGACATGAAAGCAGAACAAATTCTAACATATACAGGCCACTTCGTTGACGAGCACGGTAGGTTCATTCTCGCCAACCTCGAGGGAGTGGTGGACTTTGGGGAGTTCTCGAAAAGAGCGGATTACCAACATTGGGCGAGGGAGGAAGGCATCGGGCCGGGGAAGGAGGATGCGGAGCGGTTCCTGAAAGAGTTTGCCAAGAAGCAGAATGAGTACTATGGTCATCACTGAGAGTTGGTTTCGGGGGATTTGCGAGGTTTTCGCCTAGGTAGGTAGTGGTAAAATTGCAGTATTACCGGATTTGCGTATACTGACTGATGAATTCATGAAACCGTGAAGTAGAATACGCACTGTTGAATGGAATGAATGGCCCGTCGTCTGTTTTGCCGGCATCAATGTGACAAACTTAACCCGGCAAAGTTGTGGGGAGACATATGTTTTACTAGTCAGGATCTGATTGTTGAGGCCTTTTCGAACGAAAATCATTACTCCTTAACGTTCAATAAAAGCTGAGTTTTGAAACTATCATCTCCCATTTAGAATCCACCCTGTATCTGAGCGGAGTGAGGACGTACGATGTACGCTGCCAGGCAAGCTTGGGTCCCCCCCCCCCTTGTCCCCATGGAAACACACACGCCCGTTCAATCAGAGTCAATAGCCGCTAACTGTCTAGAAGGAACTGTGGGGGCTTTTTGTCGGATGCATATGGTCATTTGAGTTTTTGGCCGGTGGTTTAGCCCCTCCCTTTTTCGAACGGGCGTACATGCTACGTATTCATGATAGTGATTACGCAGCCTCTCTATGATTACTACATGTGCTCGCTTCAGTAATACCCACCAGCCTCTTCCGAGTCATGATAAACGAGGGTTATGGTGCTGAGTATGGGGTAAGGCACCGGCCATGCCCACAACAGGTTCTGCCGCTCATGCCTCTCTCTCCCACGTCTCCCCGTGCGTGTCAGGCTTAAGCTCCATCTATCGATTTTCTGTCATGACTTGGCTTTGCTGGTTGTACAACCAGTCCGCCACCACTTGTTTGTCGATTCAACATTTCACGCTCCAAATTGACAATGTCCACATCTCCAAGAGTGCCCTCTCATGAGGACAGTGCCGGCGAGGACAGTACCGCGCGCTCATCCTCTGATTATGACGAGGAGAAATTCAGTCTGCTTGACGGCACCGTATCCAGCAGCCAACCAACTGCATCACCGCGGATTCGCTATGGTCTCATATTGCTGGCGATTTCCAACGCCGTCACGCTATGTTTGTTGTTCTATAAAGCCGCGCTGAGTCCACAGCCCATGCAGACAACGGCGGTGTATCCGCCGCAGCCGGACTGGTTCCCTCCGCAGAGTACGTTCTACATCTGCTTGTTAGCCTGCTGCTCTTCATCTTCTTATTTCTCGTCTCGCTTCTTATATGTGCAGAGTTATCGATCTGTATTCGAGATGCTAACGGAAAAAATCAGTCCCCACGAAAAAGATATTGCAGAGTGAGCCGATCTTCGGGCAGGAACCCAACAATGAGAGCATTGCTGCTTGGAATTCACTTTTGCCAAGTACGTCTTCCCCGAATCGCTTTGGTCGTCTCTGTGACAGCCATGTGAGGAGAAGTCGGCTGACTGAGAGGAAAAACAGAGGGCCGCGGCTGGGTCCAGATGCGTAACAAGACGGCTCTCCCGGACATGCCTGGCCTGAACCAGTCGCTGCCAGAGCATATCGCGCTGCCATCGGTATACCACCAGCTTCACTGCCTCGTACGTACCAATCCTTTCAACACCCCTCATCAGAGATGCAAATCACCGCTGACAGCTGGACAGTACAGCACAATGCGTGGCTACTACGAGCTTCTAGACCGCATCGACAACCCGAAGCAACGTCGCGAGCTTCCCGCCGACCCAGGCTGGAACAAGGAACACCTGAACCACTGCTGGGACTATCTGCGGCAGAACATCATGTGCGCGGCAGACGTGACGCTCGAGTGGCATCGATGGAATGAAAAGGTAGAGACGGGCTGGGGGTATGAGCACCAGTGCAAGGACTGGGATGCGCTGACGCAGTGGGTGCTGGAGAGACGGACGTCGAACAATTGGGGCTTGTTGAGGGGAGAGGGAGAGAGGATTCCGCTGGACAAGGAGAGTTCGTCGTGATGGGTAATGTGTGTTTTTGTGTGTTGGTCGAGATGTGCCGTGAGAACAATGTACGTCAAACAGTTCCCAGAAGTCAGATTCCATCCATGTATGTTGTGATCGTGTGTGTGTGTGTGTGTGTGTGTGTGTGTATCTGTCGTTACTCCTACCAGCACCTTACGTGTAAGATTATGCGCCGACTTTACTTTCATCCCCTCTTCTTATCCCCTTATCCCTCTTCTCCTCCAGCCCAAAGTCCGTCTCCAACTTGTCCCTCAAAACAAGTTCCCCCCCGGCACACGCAAACAAGAAAGCAACGCCAGCAATGCCGGCCGCCATGTACCAAACGCCACTAATCGCCTCGCCAAAGACTTTCACGACCTCGCCTTTCACCGGCCTTTGTAGGCTCTCTATAAATGCCCGCGTCGTAGATCCGTAGGCCTTTCCGCTGCCCAGCTGCTCCCTGACCCGCTCATCCGATATCCCACCCGCAAGCTCCTCAAATCTGTTGTTGAATATTGCGGCGGGAATCGTCACACTCCAGATGATAGCCAGACTCTGCACAAATGTGAAAGTACTAGTAGCTACCGCCTGGTCGCTCTCTTTCACGGCGCCTTGAAACGCCGGCAGTAACGTGTTGACCACCATACCTAGACCGAGCGAGAACAAAACCTCGATCAAGATCCACTCGGCGTCTCCCGACGCCTCATTTAAGATACTAAACAGCCCGCACGCGATGCACATAGCCGCGAACCCAGACACGTGCAGCATTTGGTACCGCCCGAGCTTGCTCACCAAGACGACAGACACAATGCTCGCAGGCACAGCGACAGCAATGATAGGTAGCAGCTGCACACCGGCCCGCGAGGGTGTCGACATACGCACGCCCTGAAAGTACACGGGTAGCAAAAAGTTGGTCCAGTTGCTAAGCAGGCTGCTGGCAAACGCGCCGGCCGCCACAGTAGCGCCCGTTCGGTGGTTCAGCAGGCGGAGCGGCATGACCGGTTCGACCGTCTCGCTGCGCCCGAGGCGCCGCTCGAGGAGCCAGAACAAAACCAATCCCGCGACGCCAGCGGTGAGCGCGGCGATTATCCGGCCATCAGACCAGTGGTACTCGGACCCGGCGTAGGTGACTGCGTACAGCATGGCACCGGTCGCGGCTACCAGCACCAGGCTGCCGGCATAATCCACGCGCCGAAGGCGCTCACGACGGCTTGTGTTTGCAGGCCTGACGCTACCTTTTAGTAAAACGACCAAGGCCAGAAGACTCACCACGCCGAACGGGACGGGCAGCCAAAACACCCACCGCCAAGCGCCGTTCTGGACCAGGAAACCCCCCACTAACGGACCACTCACGGCTCCCAGTAAGTAAGCCGCCAGCATGACGGCCATATACTTGCCGCGATGCCTGACGGGGACGAGGTCGGAGACGACGATGCTCGACATGACGTTGATGCCGCCTGCGCCGAGGCCTTGGAGTACTCGTCCACCGATGAGCTGCGGGCCCGAGGATGCCGCCCCAGAGATTACCCCGCCAACGACGAAGAGGAGCACGGATACGCAGGTGGGACAGCGGCGACCGAAGAGGTCAGACAGTTGGCCTAGGGGCGGGGCGATCGCTGTACTGTATAGGAAGGGCAGATCGAGGTGTTAATCGTCGAGTATGTCTGTCAGATCGGTGCACGGGAATAGGGCGGTGAAACAAAGGGGGCGTGGACGAGCCAAGAATATTTGGTCAGGAACTGAAGGGATAAGAAAGACAAGGAAGATGACTAGTTTGGGGGGGGGGGGGGGGGGGGGGGATATTGAGAAACGAACCTGGCGAGTGCAGCCCCGTTGGAAACCCACACGTAGCTCGATCCCATGCCGAGGGTGTGCGTAATGGTTGGTAGGGTTGTAGAGACGATGGTGACCTCGAGGGCCAGCATGAGCTTGCTGGCTGCTAGGGCAATGACAATTGCCCAGAAACGCAGCCCCTTTGCTGGCGCTGCAGCGACTGACTCGCTTGGCTCCATCGAGCTCGTCCCCGTATTATTCTCCCTCGGGGGCACCGAGGCGTCGATTGTCTCCGGGGCTGCGGATTCCGTTAAGACTCCGGATAGGGCCCACTACGTCATTGCCGATACCGCTCTAGGGTAGATAGGATAGAAGTCACGATTAGGTATAGGAAAGTTGCGGATGATCAGCGGAACGGGACGGCGAGGGTGGCAGCTTGTTAAATACACTTTGCGGCAGGGTCAAGATTGGTGGTGTACCAGCAAGGATGACGGCCTATGGGTGCGCTCACAAAGTAATCGTTGGAGGGGCGTTGATGGAAAAGGGGGTAAGAATAACTCGCCAGGGGCTGTGAAATTAAAGCTACGTCAAGCCATTTAGATGTCTCGTGGCAACAACAAACCTTGATGTAAGCACTCCCACCTCGGCGTTCCGTGCGTATCGTTGAATCTAACCGTCGAAAATCATACTATGTACTAGTTAGACACCGTCGGCCAAAGCCATGTCTGATCGTCTCAAAACAGTGCCCCAACATTGGCCCCAGGGTGCTGCTAAGGCTATGTAGATGAAGTCGAGGGATGAAGTTGACCAGGTCCAGTCTGATTAGTAACGACAAGATCTGACTCGCCTGCCTGTGCGTCTAAATTAGTTAGATCAAAGCGTTGCTAGCGGCTTGGCGCACGCGGCGTGACAGATACTGTACATGATCGACAAAGTTACTGGGGATTTGGATCCTTGACTGCCTAGGAAGACCCCCCCCCCCCCACCTTTGTTTCCCCCTCCCTTACGCTCCATAATAAAGTACATGTATGTAGTAAGATCATTACCAGGTGTAATTGTTCGCCACTGTTGTATCGAGATCAGGCAAGTCCTGCTACTGTGTTTGGTGGCTTCACCGCCGCTCTAAGCACCTGTTCCCCAGCCAGCCAAGTCATGGGGTCAATTCTTACCCGTGGGACACAAGAAAACGCACTTCAGGGTCTCTTGTTAAGTACGGGCATTATAATAGGGTAGTTTTAGTACTTGTACGGAGTACTTTACCCCATACCAAGACTTTACCCCACACCAAGACTTTCCTCACACTTCTCTCAGCCAGCCCTGAAAGCCTTAGAATAAATTCTATACCCTAAACTTTCTGGTCAAGCTAAGCACTAACCCTATAGATCTATCCTCTTTTTGATATCTTGACTACTCTTTTCCTTCTCAAGATATCTTAGTTTCTACTTAAAGAGTATTTAAAGTGTATTGAGTCTAGGTGGTGGGACCCGTTAGTGCCCTTTCATAGGGCAAAAAAGCTTGGACTTTTTCTACATGGGTGCTTTACTAGAAGTGGTTAGAGGCGGCGCAAAGTACCAAAACTACTCCGTCAAAATACCCGTACTCCTTAATCTTATTGTATAATCCTTGCTGCCGCTCGCTTCTTGTTCGCATTTCACACCCCTTTTAACTGTCAGCAGAATGAAGTAGAACCGGCTTAATGGATTATTACTCGCGTAATACGCAAAATCACGCGTGTGAAACTGCTGTCCTGTTATGATTTCAGGGCCCCTAACGGTACTATGTATATCACTCACTTTGACAAATGTATTCCAGTCAGTCTTGAGTCATGCGTTGCTTGATAGCAATAGATCCAATTTCAGACAAGAACTGCGTGCCACTAAGTGTTCCGCAGCCGCTTTAGCCGCCGGTATGACTTGAGTCAGGGCTGTATCCCCACCGCGGACCTTGATAGCTCGCAAACGAATGTAAATCATTTTTGGTGTATTGCTTTAGCGGGGTTTTGATTTTCCTTGCAAATAGTCTAACCGTGTGCAACGGCGTTAGCGCGACTCTCTGTAATGACCAGTGAATGTCATGTATGGGCAGCTAGGCCTTTGGTCCTATGAGTGGTAGGAGTAAAGCTTTGGAAAAGGTACGTTCTGCAAGCAACCCGAGTTGTGTAAAAGAGAAGAAAGAAAAGAACATGATACATAAACAGTGCATTTCGGCGCAGCAGGAAAACAACATGTAATAACATCATGATCTCTGTAAAATAAGAATAGCTTGTCCATTTGTATTGTTCAATTTGTCTATCTAGAGGGCGGCATTGTGTAGTCACAGCCCAACAAGCGCTTTGTACAAAGTCTAGCAAGGACAGGACCACGCGAACCACAAAGTTACTCCAAGAGAATCCCAACCAAACTCCTTTTTAACCACGCCAAATCACCCGCGGCGCCGGCCCTCAGGAAGTCCACAGCAGCCCCCCGCCAACTGGTGACCTCCTGCTCCGTACTGCCCCAGAGCCGCGGCGCAATGCGCATGAAGTAGACCAACATGAGGCCAATAATCATGGCGACCTTGCACACAAACACATCATTACGCACGATCTCCCCCGCGTGCGCTTTATACGCTTTCAGGAACGAACTCAGCAAGCCCCGGTCGCCGTGCTTGGCCTCCAACACCATCGCTTCGACGCACCACATGCCTACATCCCCCGCCGCTTCGCCGAACTGCGCAAGTTCCCAGTCCACGATGTATATGTCGGGCGTGCTATTGTTGCTGCCGTTGTTGGAAGCACCCGAGCACCGGAGGAGGTTGTTCATGGGCCGGAAATCCCACGCCGTCAGTGTGCGCACCGTCTCCTTACTACGCATCGCGGCCAGGATCTTGTCGCTCTCCTCGCCATCAGTCACGACGGACTGGACCAGCTGATCCATGAACCCGCCTGGGTTGTAGAAGCGCCCCAACTCCGGATTCATCGGCTCAAAGCCAGGGGCTCCCGAGGCGGCGCTCGCCACCTGTAGACAGCCCAGCCACTTGCCGATGCGTTTGCCAATGTCCGCCATGTCAAGCTTGGGATCGCCACTCCGGAAAGCGTCCAGCAGGTTCAAATCTCCCGCCCAGGACATGACGAATCCGTTCTCCGTTGTCGTCAACACTCGCGGCACGCGCACGCTCGGCTCCGCTCGCGACGCCTCCGCCATGGCGCTGCACGTCAGCGCGCGGACCTCGGTGGACAATCGGGCGGGCGAAACGGCAGCGTCGCCGAACTTTGGGGTGCTGTCGGCGCATTTCAGCACGGCCGGCTCGGATGGCGGGTAATCGGGGTGCGAGAAGCTGTCCAGGCGCCAGATATAGCAGGAAGTGCCAGCCTCAATGGGCGTCGCGGATTCGCAGGTGATGTTGTTGTCAGTGAGGTATTGGTCTATCCCGCCGGCCCAGAGGCGCGGGTGAGGGGGTGGAGGGTCTGTTGCTGTCGTTGACATCTTGTCTTTTTTGTCGTTTAGCTTTAAGTTTGATGGCGTCAACCTGATAACGCAAGGGGGGAGAGGTGGCTTGAGTGCCGCGGGAACTAAACCTTATTATCCCGGGTTCTTGGCAATGGTTATAGTTCTCTAGGAGGCGGCTGCCGGTTAGGTCCGCGTTAGTATATTAATAAGGTTTTGGAGGACATGAGTTATTAACCACCATGCCTACTGTAGGTTATGTGGGGTGATGCAGGTGTATTTATACTCGGCATGGACCACCACAAACCGCTCGTACTTCTGAGATGCCACCCCCATGATGCTCTGAAACCAATCATTTGTTCGAAGCAAAATACAAAGACTGTGAAGAACAACTCACTACACTATAAGCCATCCCAAACTCGTCTCATTACCGCATCTGTCAAAATGTCATTCGCAACGGGTGAAAAACTCTTCGTTCGCAAGATAGAAGAGAGAGCTCGCTTGACACCCACCAACATCTTCGCGCGCGTCCCGCTCAACGATTGGGAAAGAGACGGCTACCGCTCCATTACGTGGAAGCAGTACAACGACGGCATCAATAAGATCGCCCACTGGCTGGACAAGACGCTCGGCAAGTCGGTGGACAATGATACCGTGTCATACTTCGGGTCCAATGACATCCGCTACGCCTTTGTCTTTGCTGCGCTGAATAAGACTAGCCGTAAGGTGTGTTGGCACCTCTTGCTTTTTCCATTTTCTTTGGTTTCCTTTCAGACATTACTTCCCGAAATGCATAGTATTAATTAAAAGTGTGGGGGACAACACTAGCTGCTCACCCCTGATGGCCGCCTCATGAAACCCGCACTGCACGACCTCCTGTCGGCGTCCAACTGTAAAGCATGGCTGTACACTGAGGACGAGATCGCGGCGCAGACGCCGTTTGATTTGGAAGAAACCGGAATCGCACTGCACGCCTTCCCATCCCTGGAATGGTGTCTTGACGCTGAGGACACCGCGCCGTACCTCTACACCAAGACCTACGATGAGCACAAATGGGAAGACGTTCTCATCATCCACACCTCCGGCACAACCGGCCCGCCGAAGCCCATTTATATGAACAACGGCTTCTGGGCGGCGGCCTGCGCATGGAGGCAACTGGCCAAGAAGAACTGGCCCAGGGCGATTTGCACCGAGGTCCTGCAGGGTAGGAGTCTGATCCTGGCCTGCCCCATGCGTTGGAACTCGGGGCTGATCCTAACAAACTCGTTTGGTGTGTTTGCCAACACCTGCTGCGTGCTTCCTCCGGCCGATGCCGTCGGCCTGCCGCCGGCCATGTTCGATAAGCTCACCAAGCTCAACCACGTCGACGGCCTGGTGGCGACGCCGTTTACCGTTGTCGAGCTGTTCAACGACGCCACGACCCGCCCAACACTCCAGTCCCTCGAGTTCGTTATGTACCTCGGCGCACGGCTTGACAAGGTCGTCGGCGATGCGCTCGTGCAGCACACGCGCCTCGGGTCCGTCATCGGCGCCACCGAGACCGGCGGGCGCTTCTCGTTCGTGCCGCGGGGAAAGAAGTTCTGGTACACGTACGACTTCATCCCCGAGGCGCACGTGCGGCTCGTCTCGATCGACAAGTCGGGGCTGCCGACCAACGCTACCGACGACGCCAGCGTGCACCGCATGTTCATTGACCGGCCGGAGGGGGAGGCTAGGGATTACATGTGCGCTTTCTGGAACACCAGGATGTATGACGGGGTTGATACGATCGACACCAAGGAGCTTTGGCGGCCGGTCGACTGCGACGGGGAGCGCAGGTGGGAGTTCTTCGCGCGAGCCGACGACTCGGTCAAGCTCTTCGGCGGCGTGTCCTTCGACGCGGCCGAGTTTGAGACGCCGATCCAGAGGCACCCCGGCGTTAGGCTCGCATTTGTCGGGGGTGCTGGCCGACCGGCGCCCTTCGTCATCCTGGACATGTACGACGATGCCGTGCGTGGACGGCACAGGGGAGATGTCGCGAGGGAGATCTGGGAAACGGTCATCGAACCGCTGAACCGCCAGGTTGTCAAGGAGATCCAGATCCCATCGGAGACGGTCTTTTTGACGGTGGAGGGGCGTCCTTTGCCGTTGAGCATCAAGCAGCTTGTCCGGCGGACCAAGGCCGAGGAGGAGTACAAGACCGAGATCGAAGCGGCGTACGCGAGGTTGAACGAGGGGCAGGATAGCCGGGAGAAATTTGCCGAGTTTATGAAGTAAACGATTGGGGTCCTCTTTCCGATCTGAATATGGATGAGCAATAACTGCTTGCTTGGCGGGAAATCGTAATTTTTGTGCGATTTTCTAGGTATATAATTAATCATACCTGAGCGCGATTCAGTTCTGTTCAACTGCTGCTAAGCCGCTTTTGAAAGCCGCAAACCATCACACGCGACGCTACACATCAATGCCTTTCAGATCCTCACTCGTCCAGACTCCGGACACGATACTCGTATCTAACGGCCTTCTCTCATACCCAAGAGCCAAGATACCCCGATCATTTGTAATCCGGTGCTTCTCGAGCCAGTCGTAAATCGGACCCCAGTCTTTACACTGTCGCTGATACCCCCAGCCCGTCCCCTCTTGTTCACCCCGCCACTCGACTGATAAATCGGGGTGGCACATGATGGTCTGCCGCACATAGTCCCAGCAGTGGTTAAGGTGCTCGAGCTGCCAGCCGACGCCGAAAAGAGGCTCTGTCTTATCGCCGGTGCGGTTGTAGTAGAGATCGTAGAAGGCATGCTTGGTAGAGTACTATTTTTTTTTTCTTTCAGTTAGCTGAAGGGTGAAGCCAAGTGTGTGAGAATCGTGATGGGCTTACAAGACAGTGCAGTTGGTGCGCGATGCCGGTCCAACCTGACGTGCCACGGGCAGAGGACTTGTTCAGACCTGGCATATCAGGGAGGCCGGTTTTGTTGACCATGACAAGGCCTCTGCCTACTGTTTGAAGGTCAGCCTAGTCGAGTGACCCCCAAATCAACTTGGAAGATTTGGGAGTTACTCACACGGCATGATGTGGTCCCAGGCCTTCAACTCGTCTTTATCCGGCGGGCGCGTATACATCTCCTCACCCTCGAGGACCTTGGTCACCGGGACTATGAAAGCAGTTAGCCAATTCAAGCGTTATGATAGCCTATCGTAAATGGCGGCTAACTCTCGGGCGCCATCCATTGCGGATGTTTATCCATCACGCAAGGCTTTGGGCCATCGCGTGTGACAAGCAGAAACAGCAAAGCCGACAGCGAGATCAGGTTCGACAGCGACAGCAAAAACATCGAGCCAAAGGTCCGTCGCCTGGCGGGTCTCGGCGCAGAAGCCGGCTCATTTTCGAACTGAATGAACCTGGCGTCCTCCTCACTGGAGTCTCTTAAATCCGCGTCTCCGTCCTCGTTGCGGTCAGACTTTTGGAAAATCATGTTTACAGCGATACCTCTGCTGCCGATGGGATGAACAGGCTATACTTTTGGGAAGCGTGCTTATTCACGTTGCACTTTGCAGAAGACTTCGATTTGGAAGCCTAAATAACATTACTAGATAAGTAAAAGTAGAAGTGGGCTTCGTCTCAAAAAGAAAGGTATAATCAATCAATCGATGAACGAGGCTACGGAGGACCCTTCCCCGTGGCGTTATAAAAGACGCACACAAGGCTCATCCCCTTCGAATGACCCAACCCTTAACCGGACGCTTCCGAAAACTACTGAGTCGCTCTGAACGGAGATTTGATGATGCCAGCTCCCCCATTCGAGCCACAGGCCCACGGCCAGCTGCGTTGGCAGGGTTCACGCCCTATTCTTGCCTGCCGTGAGTGAATGGCGGCAATGCAGCCCCATGATGAGCGGCCGCAAATCTACTTGGACAAGGTAGTGAGAAGCTCATTACTCCAAGGCCATTAGATAAACTAGGGGGAGAGGAGGGTTGGTGGGGGGTCACTGTTGATCACTCGTCTGATTACTCGCGATTTTGGTTGACTGTTTCGATTCATTCGTTGTTATAATATGACCTTTACATGCGCACGACGATCTTCTCCCCCGATAACTTCTTATCCCGGATAAGCTCCATACCCGCCATAATCGCCTCGAAGCCCCCGTCCAGCACCCTGAGGGGATGGTTCTTGAGCTTTTCCTCAGCGACCAGCTTCCTCGCCACGTCCCAGAGCCTCACGCCGAACTCCTTGAGTTCATCATCAGGCTCGCTGCCGTACGGCGCAGGCCACGTGCATCCTTCGCCAAACACCCTTGGCCCGACGGTGAAGTCGCGCTTGACGACCTTGCGCGTGGCCGCGTGCTCCTGACACGGGTCCAGCGAGACGTATTTGCCGCCGGCGCGCCCGATGGCCGCGTAACAGAGAATCGTTGACTCGACGCTGGTGATACAGTCGAGGGCGTATCTTAGATTGTTTTTGGTATACGACTTCTATATCGTGTTGTTGGTTAGCGGGATATAGACATGAGACTTGGTCAACGCTCCTGAGTATACGAATACGTTGCACCCACTGGCGGGTTATGAATAAGGAGGGGGGTACGCAGGTAGGCAAGCAGGGGAATAAAACAAGCCAACTCACAATCTTCTGCGCACACTCCTTATCGTTCCGGTCGAAAACCTCCTCGGCACCGTTACTTATCGCCAGAGCAAAGTTCTTGGGCGAGCACACAGCAATAGGAATCATGCCAGACCTGGACAAAACACCCCTCCGTGTTAGTACATACCCAGCCCCAAACGTGGAGAGGCTCAGGGCCCCCCGCCTTGGTAATGACTCACAACTTCAACAGCTGAATGGCGATCGTTGCAGTGGCCGTACTCCCACCGTACACCAGCACATGCGCGCCCTTGTCCACCGGCTGGTCAGGCAGTGGCAGGCCCAGCAGCTTCAGCGCCAGCCCGGCAGTACACAGTCCCACGGGCAGGCTCGCGGCGGCCTCGTAGCTCCACGCATCAGGAATCTTCATCCACATGCGGCCGCGAGTCACGTTGTACTCCGCAAAGGCTCCGCGCTCCGGGGTCGCCTTGAAAAGTTCGTTCTGCGCCCCGCACACGCGGTCGCCCAGCTGCACGTCCTTCACGTCCGCCCCGGTAGCCACAACCTCGCCTGCAAAGTCGGCGCCCAGGATGGCGTGGGCGAGGGCGAACGGCCCGCGCATCTTTGTGTCGCTAGGGTTGACGCCAACGGCGTGCACGCGCACCAGCACTTGGTCTGGCGGTAGGGAGGGGAAGGGGCAATCGGGGCGGATGATGACATTGTCGTCGTCGTCGACGACGAGGCCCGGTTGGGTGGCCGGCGGTACAAACGGGCTAGTGGTCGTTGTCGTCATTTTATCGAACGGTAACAGAAAGAAATGGAAGTGGTATTAACTGGACCAAGGATAGAGAGAAAGGGAGACAGGGTTGTGGATGTGGTTGGACAAGAGACGGAATAGTAGTACATGTAAGATAAATCAAAAGATTGCTTGCGATGACCAGTTTTGGACTTTGATTTATATCATCTGGAGGCGGTGATGGCCATGACCTTAAGGTCATAATTAGATGAATAATGTGTGCGCCTTATGTACGTTCGCTTGTATACATCCAAGATATAACAATCCCTTCCACCCCTCACCCCAGTCATTCAGCATGATAGCGGGCATATCCTCCTATGTATTTATACCCCTCAGACAGATCGTATATTAATCTGGTCCCATCACCACTCGCTAGCTTGCGTCACACACATGCTCGTGTGCAACCATTTGTCGTGAAGCGTATGTCACAAGACAGCGTGAGACCACAGTTGCATTACAGTTTTCCCACTCTCTCAAGTTGATTCTGCTTGTCCCTTCACAATGGGCCTTTCCAAAAAACCCTCCAAAGCAATTCTCTGCATGCACGGCGGCGGATCCTCGCCCGACGTCTTCCGCTTCCAGACCTCCTCCCTGCACGCCGCACTGGCCCACGAGTACGACTTTCTCTACGCGTCCGCACCTCATATCGCCACGCCCGGGCCCGACATACTCCCGTTCTTCGCGGGCATGGACCCGTTCTACAGCTGGTTCAGGCCCGTGCACGACGACCCTGCCTCGGAGGTCGTCACCTTCAACGAGGCGGTGCGCAAAAGCGTCGACAACTACACGAGGAACAACCCCGGCGCCAAGATTGTCGGAGTCCTGGGCTTCTCCCAGGGCGCCGTGGCGTCGACCATGCTCCTGTGGCAGCGGGAGGTCGGCCGGGTGACGTGGCTGCCCGACGTTAAGTTCGGCGTGCTGCTCTGCCCCGGGTACAGTGCCGTCGCCACTGAGTACATGCGGGAAATCTGCGAGCAGGAATCCCGCGGTGAGGAGGGGATCATGATTCAATTGCCAACGCTGCATCTCCACGGGCGCCAGGATGCCATCAACTTGCCTCAGTCGAGGAAGATGTATGCGACCCATTACAAGGGCGCCCAATTGGTCGAGTTCGACGGCGAGCATGAGGTGCCGAGGAGGGTTGGGGATGTCAAAAAGATTGCTGAATATGTGCTGCGGGTCTCGGTTTAGCTGTTACGGAGAACGGGGGGGCGGTGTAGAATGGGAGATGAGTTTCATGTGGATTCATCTCGTATTGTTGTACGACGTCTAACTGAGGAGTAATATAATGTGGGAAGCGCATCCATTCAAGATACTCTCTCTCTGTCAACTTACTTGGTTACAGGGGTAATTTAAACATGCATACACCCAATTAGGTCACTTATATATACACCTTGTAACTTGAGTAATAGAAAAGCCGGTCCGGCTAGTAATTTATTACTATTTGAGATGCCCCTTAAGAAAAACTGTACGTATAGTAGCATAATCAGTACTTAATACTTATTTTATGTAATAATTAGCTACTTAGTGACAATAAGTAACCGTGATAGTGATACATAACAAATCGGAGAAAAATTCACCAATAGCTAAACTGGTTAGTTGATAAGTATAAAAAGTACTATCAATGTGAACTTTACCCTAAATAGTAGGGGGTTAGGTATTAGGGTTCCTAATTCAGGCATTAAAACTTCGGCCGGTAACCAAAGAATAGTCCACTGACTCGTATTAGTCAAGCGGAGCAGTCTACAGAGTACTTTGGGTTGAAAAGTCCGAAGCAAAGAGATAACGATAGAGTACTACTGCGTACTCTGTAGTTAACGATGGAAGTCTATGTTGCAGGGATCACAAGCTTGTACGAGGCCAACCCAAAATTGGCGCAGCTCGTGCATTGAACCCCGAAGCCCGGCGTCATCGATGAAGGCTCAAAGACGTCCGCCATGTTCATCCGTTGTTTTGTGCTTGGATATCGACAACCCGGAAGAGACCAACATTGTATCCAACTAAGCCCCAGTTGGTTTATTTCACTCGGTCATTATACTCACCATCATCTAAAAGCAGGAAAACAAGAAGACAATGTCCTATAATCTTCCGTCCCCGTCCCCGCCGGCAACCTCCGGCCTCGACTTCGCCGACAAGCCGTATCACACCTCACGCGTCGACCCTTTAGCCCGCTTCCACGATAACGTAGCTCAGGTCCGGCGCTGGATCCAAGACAACCTCTCAGTACGTGATGTGATCCTGAGTCCACGCCCCCACCCCCCCGGCGGACAACGTCGACTAAAGCAAACTAACCAAATCCAAGAACTTCTCCCACTTGGACGAAATCATTGTCCTCCAGCTCGGCTCCGACACACTCCCCCACCAGCCCCTCACCATCGACTGCACCACGACGCCGCCCGTGCTCTCCAGCACCGTACCTTCCACCGCGCACAGGTCAATCACCATCCTGCCAGAGTACATCCTCGACGCCATCGATGGGCGCATGCACAGCCAGCACGCCTTCGGGAAGCGTGCCACGCCGCCCACTCTCGGCGCCATCCCCGCGTGCTTCGCCCCAGGCGGCGTCCCGGCGCCTTGCGCGGCCGTTGACCCCGGCGTATTGCCGAAGCCGACGGACGACGTGGCGCAGCTGAAGCGCGACTTGACGAAATGGGGCTACGCCATCTGCGGGAACGCGCTGAGCGCGGAGCAGGTGCAGGTTATCCGCACCGCCGTGGAGGAGCAGGCCGAGGCTGAGAGGCTGGTTGGGGTCGGGCATTTGGACACCGCGCACAAGAGCGCGGGGGATCAGCCGAATCAGCGAGTCTGGTCAGTCGGTCTTGGTTTCCCCTGTTTCATCCTAGCTTGCCTTTTCTTGTTTTCTTTCTTCGTGGTTTCGTTTCCGTGTTATACGTCGTGTAGATGCATTTGCTGATTTGTCGCAAACAAACAAAACAGGAACCTCCCCAACAAAGGCGACGAGTTTCTCGACCTGCTCAACCACCCGCTCATCGACGCCATCATGCCGTGGTTCCTGGGCGGCAACTTCAACCTCTTCACCATGTCGGCCAACATCGCCCGGCCCGGCACGTCGGGCATATACATGCACCGCGACCAGATGGTCATGGCCCCGGACACGACGGCGCATGCCTATGTGCTGAATGCCATGTGGTATTTGACTGATGTTTCCGACGAGAAGGGCGCGACGCGCGTGTATCCGGGGAGTCATTTGATGAACGTCTTACCGGATATCAATCATGTCGTATGTCTTCCCCCCCGCGGCCTTGGAAGAATTAAAAAAAAAAAAAAAAAGCTGACATGTGTTTTGCCACAAAAGGGCACATCCATCCCCATAGCAGCGCCAGCAGGCTCCTGCGTGCTTCTCGACAGCAGAACGTGGCACTCGACGGGCGTCAACACGACCAGCGAGATGCGGCCGGTCATTCTGCAGTCGTTCTGCAGGTTCTTTGTCCGGCAAATTGAGAACTACCAGTCCATCCTGAGCGACGAGGTCAAGGCCAAGCTGTCGGAGCGTCAGAGGGCGCTGTTAGGTCTGCCGAGTCTCAAGCCCGGCGGCAAGGGACAGGGCTTTGCGGTGTACAGCTGGCCAGGGACGCAGGTCGGGAGGATGAGGGTCGCCGTCGGGAAAGATTAGATCTGTGTGTTCTGGGTCACTTGGGGTTCGACAGTCATGGTCCGTACCAAATCATTCCCTCACATCAAAACACCATGTTACTGTTACGTACTTTTGCGCATGTTGATCGACATTACCAATGACTTAATACACACCGCATTGATCAAGTCACATCCGCCACGCCATCCGGGCAACCCAACTCAATCAACAGAACAGCAACCAAGGCATCTACCCGTCAACATGTTTGTTCCTCAGCATCTCCTTCCCGGGAATAGTTCCTTCCGGAATCCCATGTTCCCTGGCCCACGCCTGCCAATCCGGTCTGGCAAACAACTTATCCCACTCGACGATTGCATCCTGGTTCAAGAAATCGGCGTGGCCGTGCTCATCGAGGAACGTCGCTAGTCGCCGTCAGCCACTGACCTGCAAAAGAAAGGCAAAGAGAGTGGTCGTCAGTCTTGACAAGCAGCACATACCGTAGAGTGGATGCCGGGCGACTGCAACAAAAGGAAGAAGGAGAGGGATAAAAGTCAGCAGATTTGTCCACGGTTTTGGCGCTGGCCTGGGTGATTGCTTACCCTCGGCGAGACTAGTTTTCCCAGCGGGGACAATGTGAGTGCTCCTAGCCCACTCCATGACGCGGTCCCAGTTGGCGCATGTGTGCCGCGCCCCGTCCCAGTTGACTATGGGGGCGGCCTCATTGACGACCCAGTGCAGAGTCAGCGGGGACATGTCTGGGTGGCATTTCAGCGCGTCCATGAGCCGCTGGAGGCAGTGGTCTTTTGTTGGTCAGTACATGCAGAGGTGCAGTAACATGGAAGAAGAGAAGAAAAGAAAAAGGATGCAGAGTGAGTAAAGAAGTGTGTATGTGTGAAAAAGGGGGGCAAGAGCCGTACGCAAATGACTGGAATGCGACTTCTCCTCAGCCGCGGTCATGTTGTGATAGTAATGATCGCGATGCAGGCCATTGTATAGATATTTCTACCATGCTCGGTCAGCAACCATACAATGAACCAGATACATTTCGACCTACAATACAGTGCAGGTTGTGCCCAACCCACACACTTCCATAACTACAACGGTTAGTTTTCTGTCCTCGCTCCCTCTCAATGTCATCGTCATCATCGTCCGAGCAATTCCGCGCAGTGACAAACGTACTATTGACCATCATCGTCATCCAGCCAGATGGACTCCTCCTCCACACCCAGCCTGTGGATCTCGGCACTTGGGACGCGGTTGCGGAACGCTGATGTTGATAAAGAATACAATCATGATTAGTCATCAGCGACGGGGCAGTTTTCCAAATCATGCAGGCTTTTCGGGTGGCGTGGTCTTACTCGTCAATAACGTGTTCCAATTCCGATCGAGCTCGGGCCGCGGAGCACCGAGATACGGGTGGTGGTCGTCAGGCTCCTCGTGGTCGGCGGGAACCTCTTCGTATTGTAGGGCATCCTACTCGTTTCAACGTCAAAGGGTCATTTCACACGGCCGGAAGACGTACGTACCCACGCGCGATAGCGATCCGGCGCCGCGACAGCTGGACAGATGCTCTTGTAATAGAACTGGCGAGCGGCGACGAGGACCAGAGTTGTATAGACGAGCTGGGCGAGGACGGCGAGGATGGCGTACGTGTACCGGTTGCTGGACTTGGGGCGGGGCGGCGGGCGAGGCTGGAGGCCGTTAGGTGTCAGGGGGTACTCTTCCGGCTCGCCGTCGCTGGCGCAGTCGGCGTTGTTGGAAGAGAGGGAGGCGTATTGGTCTCTGTAGAGCATTTTGGCTTACGGGCTAGTGTATTGCGTGCGTGGTGCTGCTGTGTAAGTACTGCGTGAGCCGGGACGGTTTTTTTTTTTTTTTTCCCCCTCTAAGTAAGGGCGTACAAATGGCGGGATGATAGATTGGTGGATTAGTGGTGGGTCCATTAATCGTCAAGTCAGTCTATGTCACGAAGCGCTTGATGATGTTGGACTGTGTGGATATTCTTCTTCATGTGGCATGTTGTGTGTCAAGCTCATCAGACAATATTTCTCGTAATAATCGAAAACCTTACACTTGACATTTCTAATGCCTGCTGTGCGCTCCAACTAGTGATGGGGTACATACACTGTATGATTGCCTCGATATCCTTGTTCTTTTTGTTGCTGGTGTCTTTGTGTGTAGCGTTTTGCTACGTTATTTCCTACTTGTACACATGCTGCTCCTAGCTGTGGCTTGTCATACACCTGCTGTTACATAGGACATCCTCTCGGTCTAAGTGGAGACACCCATCTGTACAATGCTAGACACACGCTGTATAGGAAAGATCACCAACATTCATTACGCAAAAGTTGCCTTTTGCAGCCAGGTGGGCCAAAGGGCCTGTGTCAGGCGTAGATATTGCTCACGCTCTTTGACAGGGAAGTGCAAACAAACAATCAGACAGATAGACAGACAGACAGGCTGCATAGCTGGGGAGGCGGTGACGTGGGATGTACCATGCATATGCTATTAACGGGGCTGCACGGAGTATGCAGTATCAGTAGCTAAATCGGGGGGGGGGGGGGCATACTTGCCGGATGCTACCACACTATGGCAACTAGGTGCAGATCACAATAAGAACAGGGTTTAGGTTCAGTACGGATATCTTTAGAGGCAGGCATTCTCGGTAAATCCCGCAAGGATCATACAAGATCTCTACGTATGACTTGCCTAACACGGTAGCACTCCCCCCCCTCCCCAGTCGCCGATCATCGGCCCGCTACACTACCCTGTATCCGCCCGACTAGGTAGTACCCCTCTATCACTACCCCACCACCTGCCGTCACCCCCCCCCCCCCCACTAAGACGCCGTCCACCCCCCATCAACACTCCAAACCTGGCCGGTAACGTGGCTCGCATCTTCATCATCCGCCAGGAACGCAACCACCGCGGCGACCTCCCTCGGCTCTGCCAGCCTCCCCTGCGGGATCCGTGCCCTCAGCCCCGCGGTCGCTGTCGTCCCCAGCGCTTCCACCATAGGCACCGCCGTAGGACCGGGCGCTACTGCGTTGACCCGTATCCCCGCGTTGGCGTACTCGATCGCTGCTGTTCTGGTCATTGCGATGACGGCGCCCTTGGACATGGCGTACGGTGCCGAGTTAGGCGCGCTGCGGACCCCTGCTACCGATGCCGTGCACACGATCGAGCCTCCACTGGCCTGTGCCGTCATGAACCGCAGTCCGAGCTGGAGGATCAGAAAGGCGCCTTGAATGTTGTACTGAAACACCTCGGCGGCGTCCGCGGCCGTGACGTTCAGGATCGGGCACCGCGGCCCCCCCATCCCCGTGTTGTTGACCAGAATGTCCAGCCGCCCATGCGTTGCGCGCACGTATTCTTCCAGCTCGCGGATGCTGTCTTCGGACGCCGCGTCTAGGTGTCGTGGGATCACGTTGCTCCCGACCTCCGCCGCCAGTTTTTCGTGGCCCGACTTGTCCGCCGCGATCACCACCGCCCCTTCCGAAGCCAGCCGCCGGACGATGGCTGCGCCGCTGCCGGATGCGCACGACGTCACGAGGGCGATCTTGGCGGTGAACCGGGCCATCTCCAAGTACTGTTGCAGCGGTGCTGGCTGGCTGCTTGGCTATTGTATGATGCCGACAAGATGATTTCTCAAACTTTTGGTTCTCTTTGATGATAGTATTCCGTTGTAGGTGGGTAGGTAGGTAGGTAGGTTATAACGAGGGAAATGTTGCTGCAAAATGCCGCTGTGATTTACCCTACGTACTACAGCGCCATCATACAGTGCGTCGATTCACTGTTAAATACATTTTTCTTCCTTTCCCGTCTCCTCCTCCCCTACAGCCCTGTTTTTCTCCTTATGTTCTTATTTGCTTTTTTCTTCTCTTGCAGATTTCGAAACAGAAATAGCCGGGGTGGTACATCGCACGTGTTATTCCTCTCTACCTACTTCTCGCGCGACTCGTCACCCACAGTTAGACACCTATACCCACACCCCCCTATCCTTGCTGCTCACCATCGAGTCACCGACGATGGATGGCGAATTACTTATCCCCCGTTAAACGGATCTCGTGACCTGTTCCCTCGGTCAAGAATGGATTCAGACAAGCACCTACCATGGCAACGGCCGCAGATCCCCAGAACACCAATCCGGTCAGATTATGCGACGTTCCGTACCCCAGCAACGCACCCGCCAGCGCTGTGCTCCCCGCGCGCGTCACCATTGAGGAAAAGAAAGCGATGCTGTGGGTCCTGCCGAGCGCAGACGGGTGCGGGCACGCCGAGTTGATCAGGACTGTCAGAGACGGAGTCACGGTGCTAGTCAGTAGCGCCGTGACCACCTGCATGGGCGTGATGGCGGCCCAGATGGCAACACCAGTCTTTCCAGACGGCGGAGGCGTGCTGGAGGGGACAAGGACCACAAAGGGTAATGCGTAGTACAAGAGGGGAGAGGCGAGGTAGAAGGTGCGCCAGACGCGCAGGGCTCCGAGCCGTTGGGCTAAGCGTGGGTATAGGATGAGTTGGAGTGGTACGGATAAGATGCCTGTTTGGGGGGAAGAATCGAGATACGATTTGGTCAGCACATAGTTCCAAAAGGAAAAAAGGGACAAAAAAGACAATAAAAAGGAAAGGCCATGGGTGAGTGGCGGAGTAGTGTGGGTTTTGTTTGTACGCACCGTACATGACCGAGTACACGGCCAAAGGCACCGGCGTGAACCCAGCGCCTCCGCCAAAGAAGAAGGGCAGCTCTCGCAGCGCCTCCTCCTCCCTACTGGAGACAGGCGTCACAAGGAGATTCGGAAAGGCGACGCTCGCGGTCCCGAGGTGCAATTCAAAGATGACGGCCGCGAGGAGGACGAGCACCATGTTCTTGGTGAGAATGCGGCTGCTGGGGAGCCTGGCGACGGGTTTGGTCTCGGACGGCGGCTTTGACGGCGACGGCGGCGGTTCCGCTCTGTCGAGGAAGGCCATCTCCTCCTCGTTTCCGTCGACGAGGGCGTACCCTGCTGCGCCCTCCTCTTTGTTGCCATGATTGCGCAGCAGTCGGAGCCGAGAGAGAATATAGCGTGACAAGGCAATTCCAGGATCATACCTGTGACAAACAAGCTTGGAAGTCTGGAACTTGGTCAGCTTTTGTTGGCAGGGTATGCGGTGTCTTCATTACGGGAAGACATAGATATGCTTTTGTGTGCAAGTGTATACCTACCTCTTCGAGGAACAAAACAGCCGTCACCAACACCACCAGTAGAAAGCCAGCATTCAAAAGGGCGGGCAAGGCATACGGATATCGGCTCAGCAACCCACCGCCATGAGCCTTCGGCATCAGCTCGACGGTGCCGGCCGCGACGAGGGCACTGAGAATGATGGCGAGGCTGGTGCTGATGTTGAGGAGGACGAAGGCTCTTGCTTGGTATCTGGTTTTTGTTAGTGAGGGGTTTCCAATGCCATCAGCCAAGAAAAATGGCCACGGGAATCCATATTACGCAACACTTTATTTTCTACCTTTTTTCTTGCACAACCTCGGCCGTCATGGTTCGCACCATAGCGACGGTACCATTGGTTAGACCCTCGACGAAACGCAGCACGAGGGCCTGTTTGAAGTTGGCGACGAAGCCGAATAATGAGCAGGCGATGACTACATACGCCATTCATCCGGCGTCAGTACCACGTCGACACGATATTTACCATCAAGCGTTGATGAAAAGGCAAACGTGTTTGAAAAGAAGAAATGAAGATACGTACAAGACCCCAGCAAACTCAGGACGACAACAACCTTTCTCCCGCCCTTAGGCGAGTCCGCGAGGCTTCCGAGGAAGACGCTCGCCACACATTGCGCGATGGTGTAGGCGGCCTGCAGCAGCGTCGTCTGCTGGACAATGGCAGCGCTGGGGAGCGACGGGTCTAAGGATTGCAGCTGAAAGTAGACATATGATGAGATGGATACTTTGACAATTGGCTCGCAGAAGCGGACGAGGAAGAGGATGACCAGCTGATCTTTTCGCGGGAGGGAGGCCCAGGTCACTTTGCCTTCTGGCATGCTGGGCTCTTTTTTCTGTCTTTTTCTTTTCTTGTTTTCTCCTGTTTTTCTCCCTTCTTCTTTTCTGCTGCAGTTCGCTCCTCTACCAGGCGCTCTTCAGGATTAGTGGCCGTCTACAGCGTTCGCATTGAATTGAGGACGTTCAGGTATGTAATCAGGTATGAGATAGGTGTAGAGGGGACGTCGAGTTGTTATTTTGTTGATTGCATTCCCCCGGATCAACGATATAGCCCCGATATTCAACGGCAACAATACTGACAAAAGTCATACCGCTTATGCGGTAGCCAGCACAGGCCAGCTCCACTCAGAGTGTCCCTGGTGCTGGCCAACAATGGCCCCATTCCCTTCTATATCGCGCTATCCGCCCGGACTCTCGCAGTTGACAAGTGTGCGTAGGTCAGCCCACCCGGATGGTATTAGCAGGTCAAATGCCAGTGCAGTTTTGGTATTGTGCCAGTGTCTAACCTAATCAAGAAGGATTATATATTTGTATAACCCTCTAAGCCTATTATGACTAGTCTATAGGGCTTCTTCGTAGCCTGTACGATGTACTATGTCAAACGACAACAACTCCCCTAGATCTCGCTTCGGACTAAGGTGAGGGTCATGAGTCGAGAGATCGTCGAGTTGAGCGATGACATTGTGTGGAATGACACGACGTCGTTCTTGTTTGTTCCACCAGAGGGACAGGCATCCTATATTCCATGGTACCGGTTCGAGGCTGTTTTGTCTCATCTCCCTCACTCGGGGGGTGTGCTGTTGCCGGGGGTGTAAATTCGTTGGTTTTCGTGAGTAAATTGCACCCTATATACAATCATCCGCAGTCGAAACACCCATCATGACTCGTTGCATGTCCACCTCCGCCAGGCCTCAACGGCAGGATATGCAAATCATTCTAGCGGCGGGGTTCTACTTGATGACCTCTAGATCATACGGCAGGGACTCAGTGAAAATCATGGTCCCAGGTGACCCTTTGAGCGGTCAACAGCTTAGTATGGAGGCCTTTGATCACTATACCAAACGGCCAGCACATTGTGGACATGCTTTGCCCTCATTTGCGATAAATATACCATTCACGCTCTCCTCGTCCGAGGTAATGAACCACACTCGGCGTCCCCTTCCTCCCGTCCTATCTTGACTGATCCTCAAGTCTCTCTCGACGATATCATATTATTGCACCCCTCTTCTCGACCACATCCCGCTCACCTTGGCATTATTCTACCTCATCTCACCTCACCTCACTTCATATCATCTCGCCATGACCCCAGAGCCCATTGCCGTAATCGGTAGCGCCTGTCGCTTCCCCGGTGACCTGACGACGCCCTCCAAGCTATGGGCCTTCCTCTCCAAGCCCCATGATCTTCAATCCGAAGTCCCAAAAGACCGCTTCAATATCGATGCCTTCCATCACCCCGACGGTAGCCACCACGGGCGCACCAATGCTCGGCACGGCTACTTCCTCTCGGACATCAAGACATTTGACGCCCAGTTCTTCAATGTCCAGGCCGGTGAGGCTGAGAGCATGGACCCGCAGCAGCGGCAGCTGCTGGAGACCACATATGACGCCTTGTGCGACGCTGGGCAAACGCTCACGGAACTAAAGGGATCCGATACGGCCGTCTACGTCGGAATCATGACGCATGATTTCGAGCTGACGAAGGTTGGGGACTTGGATGCGATTCCGACGTATCTGGCTACCGGTGCCGCCACGAGTATCGCGAGTAACCGCTTGAGTTATTTCTTTGATTGGCATGGGCCGAGTGTACGTTTTACTTCTGCTTCTTCTTCTCTTTGGACCGATTGCATTGAACTGCCATCGTGCGTGTGTGTGTGTTTGTCATGCTGACGGGCATAGATGACGATCGATACAGCGTGCAGCTCGTCGCTAGTTGCCATTCATCATGCTGTCCAACAGCTGCGGAGTGGTATAAGCAAGGTTGCCGTTGCGGCTGGGGCGAATTTGATGCTCTCGCCTTGTAAGTCCCCCCCCCCCCCCCCCTTGTCTCTCAAAAGTCCCGTCTACCACGGTCAACAGCTCATATCATGAACCAACTGCAGTAAACTTCATCACGGAAAGTAAGCTGTCCATGCTCTCACCGACAGGGAGGTCACGCATGTGGGATGCTGCGGCGAACGGATATGCAAGAGGGGTGAGTGATTCCGGTTCCCTCCTTTATAAGTATATGTACATATATATATATATATATATATATATACATATACATATATACCCACATATAAGAGAATAGCTGAACAGACTGACTGAAACATTTTTATAATCGTCACAGGAGGGAATAGCATGCATCGTCCTCAAAACCCTCTCCCAGGCCCTCGCCGACGGCGACACAATCGATTGCCTGATTCGCGAGACAGGCGTCAGCCAGGATGGCAGGACAACTGGCATAACCATGCCGAGCAACGTGGCACAGGCGGCGTTGATTCGCGCTACTTACGCACGCGCTGGGTTGGATCTGAGCAGACCTGAGGGGCGACCGCAGTTCTTTGAGGCGCATGGTATGGATTGCAAAACGTCCCCCTGCTCCCTCTTATTTCTATGATTCTTCTGTCCTTGTACTTGACCCTTTCAGCAAATCGCAGCAAACTGACTGAGGGAAAACATTTAGGAACCGGCACGCCGGCAGGCGACCCTCAAGAAGCCGAAGCCATAGCGACCGCTTTCTTTCCCGACACGACAAAGAACGTGCAGGACCTCTACGTGGGATCTATCAAGACGGTCATCGGCCACACAGAGGGCACGGCAGGCATTGCAGGCTTGCTCAAGTGCAGCCTGGCTGTGCAGAATGGTATCGTGCCGCCGAATATGCTACTCGAAAGACTCAACCCGCGCGTCGAGCCGTTTTGCGAGCATCTGCGTGTCCCCAAGGAGGCAACACCGTGGCCGGCTCTCGCTGAAGGGCAGCCGAGGAGGGCTAGCGTTAATTCTTTTGGTAGGCTTTCCCTTCCCTCAATCTTTCTCTTTGTTCCCTTCTTCATCTGCTTTGATCGTACGTGATGTTAACTATATGTGTCAAACGACAACAGGTTTCGGAGGCACAAACGCCCACGCTATCATCGAGGAGTACATTCCCTCCTCTATTTCAACCTCCACCAACGGCAACTCAACCATTGTGCTGCCGCTGGTGTTTTCGGCGCGTACGAAACGCTCCCTCAAATCCAACATGGGAAGCATTCTGTCCCTCATCAGAGAGACACCGAATGTCAACATCACAGACCTCGCATGGACGCTTCTCCACAAACGATCCGTCCTCCCTCTGCGTCACGCCATCGCAGCTAGCAGCGTCGAATCCCTCCGCGTAGCTCTGGAAGCGGCCATTGAGGGCGACTTGGGGCTAGAGTATACGCCCAAAACTACCGGCACAGTTCGCATCCTCGGCATCTTCACAGGCCAGGGCGCGCAGTGGCCCGCCATGATGAAGCAGATGATAGTGCGCGTCCCCCTCGTGGAGGCCATTGTCGATGAGCTTGACACGGCACTGCAAACCCTTCCCGAGCAGTACCGGCCTGCCTGGATACTCAAGGAACAGTTGCTTCTGGAAGGGGAAGCGTCCAACGTGCGTTTGGCTGCCTACTCACAGCCCCTTTGCGCGGCGGTCCAGATCGTTCTTGTCAGGTTGCTGTCCGCGGCTGGCCTTCGGTTTAAGGCGATTGTTGGCCATAGTTCCGGCGAGATAGGCTGCGCGTTCGCAGCGGGCTTCATCAGCGCAAGGCAGGCCATTCGTGTTGCATACCTGCGCGGTTTCACGTCGTGCCACGCAGCCTCCCCCACCGGACAAGTGGGCGGCATGTTGGCGGCGGGTATGTCCCTTGAGGATGCGCGGGAGTTGGTCGAGCTCGAGGCGTTCGAAGGCCGCGTGTGCGTCGCGGCGTGCAACTCGCCCGACAGTGTTACCCTCTCTGGTGACATGGACGCCCTTGAAGAGGTAGTGGAGATCCTTCAGGACGAGTCCAAATTCGCGCGTCTGCTACGTGTGGACAAGGCCTACCATTCCCATCATATGCTCCCTTGTTCAGACCCGTATATAACCGCCCTTAACGAGTGCGGTTGTGCTGTGGCCGACGGGACTGACACAGGGGTCAAGTGGTACTCCTCCGTGCGTGATGGTAAGATCATGACGATGGCCGACGTCACGCCGCAGTACTGGCGGGATAACCTTGTCTCGCCCGTACGCTTCCGTCAAGCGCTGGAGCAGGCAGGGTTGGAGGTGACGTTAGACGCCGCTGTGGAGATCGGTCCGCACCCGACACTCCAAGCCCCCGCGAAGAATACGCTGGCTACCGTTATGACGGATGAGATGCCGTATACCGGGTGCCTGCAGCGCGGCAGCGATGACCTGGCCGCGTTCGCCGCGTGTCTGGGGTACATCTGGGAGCGGTTTGGTGCGCTCAACGTCATCAACGGCACCACTTTCGTCGCCGCAACGCAATCCGGCGTGCCGGTCCTCGACATCTCTAAGCAGCTCCCGCCCTACGCGTGGGACCACTCGCGCGTCTACTGGTCGGAATCCCGCGCGGCCAAGGCAGCGCTTCACGGCCCACGCCCGCACCTCATGCTCGGCACACTGCTGCCCAGCAGCACGGCCACCACCCTCCAATGGCGGAACTTCATCCGGCCAAGAGATCACGAGTGGATGCAGGGACACGAGCTCCAGGGCCAGGCGGTACTCCCCGCCGCAGGCTATGTGGTCATGGGAATGGAGGCAGCGCTGTATCTTGCTGCCGGGAGAAGCGTGGCGTTGGTGGAGATGCTGGACCTGAGCATTGATAAAGCCATTACGTTTGATGACGCGGACAGCATGGCGGAACTGATGCTTACTGCGAGCGTTACGTGCTCTAATGATGCGCAGATCGAGCTGGAGTTCGGGATTGCCTCTTGTCTGTCTCGCGAGTCGTCACTGTTCCTGTCTGCGCGCGGTCGGATCATCGTCGCCCTAGGAGAGCCCGCGGTGCTCCCCGAGCCGGGCCCGGCACCATCGCACGCCAACCCTGTCGACATCAAGCTGTTCTACAAAGAGCTCGACAGCATTGGCTATGACTACAGCAACAACTACCGATGCGTCTACAGCATGACGCGTAGCACATCACGGGCGTCCGGCCACATGGCACACCCGCGGCTGGTCGATGGTGCGAACCCCATTGTTCTGCACCCCGCGAATCTCGACTTGGCCTTCCAGACTGTCATGGGCGCCTACTCCTCTCCCGGCGATAAGCGGATGCGTTCGCTGTACGTTCCGACGCGGGTTGGTCGGATCGCACTGGTGCCGGCCGTGTGTGCCAGCACGCTGGACTCGCTCGAAGGTGTGCGGTACAATGCGGTCAACACCTACGACGGCGGTGACTACCTCTCGGGCGACGTCGAGGTGTTCGACAAGGAGAGCAATGCGGTGCTGTACAGCGTCGAAGACATGCACCTCAAGCCGCTGACACCGCCGTCCGCATCCGAGGACCACAGGCCCTTCACCAAGACGGTTTGGGGCCCGCTAAACCCAGACAAGATTCTTGATATCGAAAGGCTGTGGGCCACGGAGCAGGATAAGGAGGCAATTCCCATTATTGAACGGGCCGTCTACTACTTTGTCCGTAAGTTCCTGTCCGAACTGACGGAGGAAGATAGGAAGAACGCGAGTGTGGGCAACCAGCGGTATATCTACTGGCACGAGCATGTTCTCAAGCTGGCCAGGGACGGCAAACATTTGTTTTACAAGCCCGAGTGGGAACAAGATACCGAAGAAAGCATCGACAAGCTGGTCCAGGCGTAAGTCACTCTCCCCCACGCCACTATCGCCGGCACACAACATTGTATACACTTGCTGATATGCGAACGACAGACACTGGTACCATCCCCACCTGCGGCTGGCCAAGCTGGTCAGCGAGAACAGCCTGTCTACGATCCGGGAGAACAAGAACCCGTTCATCTGGATGAATGCGAACGGACTTTTGACGGAATTCTACACAAGCTACCTGACCAGCGGCCCGACATGGGAGTACGGGCAGCATTTGATTGGCCAGATTGCGCACCGGTTCCAAAACATGGACATCCTAGAGATCGGTATGTTTCCCTTGAGTGCTCTTGTTCCTTTCTTTCTCCCTCTTTCTCTCTCTGTGTGTCTTACCGACAACACCACTAACACCATAAAAAGGCGGTGGTACAGGCTCTGCAACAGCCTCGATCCTCGCGATCCCGGAGCTCGGCTTTAACAGCTACACTTTTACCGACATCTCGGCTGCCTTCTTCGAGAAAGCAAAGGAGAAATTCGCCCCCTTCCTTGACCGCATGGAATTCCGCAAGCTTGATATATCTAAACCGCCTGCGGAGCAGGGCTTCAAGACCCACGCGTACGACATGGTCGTTGCGAGCTCCGTGTTGCACGCTACGCCAAACCTGACCGAGACCATGGCCAACGCCCGCACGCTGTTGAAGCCTGGTGGGCACGTGGTTATCTGTGAAGCCACGAATAAGGACCATATGCGTGTCGGCTACTTGTTTGGTTTGTTTGCCGATTGGTGGGCGGGTATTGACGAGGGCCGCACGCTGGATCCGTTTGCTACCCGCGAAGAGTGGGATGCTATTTTCAAGAATACCGGCTTCTCGGGGATTGACAGCGTCACCACCGACCGCGAGAGCCACCTCTTCCCCAACACCTTGCTCAGCACGCACGCCATAACGCCCGAGCAAGCACGCCTCGACGATCCCCTCTCCGCTCCGCCCAAGCCGCAATACCCACAACTCGTCATCGTAGGTGGCGGTGGCGCGGCATCTGCTCCCATCTTGAACAAGATCTGTGAGATGCTACCGGGCCGTGACCCGCTCGTCGTCCCCAGCTTGGTCGAATTGGCGTCCGTCGAAGTGCAGCCCAAGGCAACGTACGTGATCCTCTCGGAGGTTGACAGCCCCATATTTGAGGAGTTGGCCGAGGAGGAGCTCGCTGCTATTAAGAAACTGTTCTTCGGGTCTCAAGCGGGCGGGATCTTCTGGCTGACCGAGGACGCCTGGGTTTCGAACCCGCGCCAGGCGATGGGAATCGGTATGCTAAGGTCTGTCAGGTTGGAGAACCCGGATGTTGCTTTCCAGTGCCTTGATGTGGACCGGCTAGAGGACCTGGACTTCCAGTTCCTGGTCGAGCAGATTCTGCGCCTTGAAGAGGGCACGCCAGAGAACACGGTCTGGACGCTCGAGCCGGAGATCTGTGTCGTGAACGGCCGGCCCCAAGTGCCGCGTATCAAGCAGGACACTGCTCGAAATGACCGGCTCAACTCTGTCCGCCGTCCGATCCTTGATGCTGTCGACGCCAACGTCGTCCCCGTGGTGCTGCAGAGCACTTCACCCCCAGTCCTGGTCGTCAAGCAGACATCCCGACCCCTGGGTGTGCCACGAGATGCAGCCAAGCAGACGATCCGCGTGCACCATGCCACCGTCAAGGCTATCCGCGTGTTCGCACTGGGGTACTTCCACATCGTCACCGGCACGACGGCCGACGGCGCTGTGCTGGCCTTGGCGGAGGTTCACGCGTCTATCGTTGACGTGCCGGTCAAGCACATCTTTCCTGTCGCGGATACCTCGGTCAACACCCTGTTATCTGCCGTTGCAAAGTTGATCGCGCAGGGCGTAGTCAATACGCCGCCGGGCACATCGACACTGGTGTACGACCCGCCGAGGTTCTGCCTGGACGCAATTAAGCAAATCGCGGAGACTAGTAATGTGCGTGTCCACGTTGCTACTGCAGATGCCTCATTGTCTCAGGCTGTTGTACTCCATCCTCGCGATACTGAGAGGGCGCTGAAGCAGAAGATTCCAAGTGGTATTGCGGCTCTGTACGATCTGTCCTCCAACAAGCATGCCGCGTCGCTCGGCCCACGACTGGCCCGTATGACTGGTTGCACTGCACGGGACTTGAGCTACGTCTGCCGCGCCGAAGCAGCGGCATTTATTTACTCGGACGCCACGGAAGCAAGTCAGCTGCAGCTCGTCGCCGAATCCATCCACAACATCTCGGCTCTGGATGCAGAAACTATCGCCTCCTGCCCCGTCAACAAGCCCACCGACGCGCAAGACGCCCCGTACGCAGTAGTCGACTGGCAGATGGAGTCCGGAGCCCCCGCACGCCTTAGCCCCGTGGACGCCGGCACCCTCTTCTCCAGGAACAAGACGTACCTCCTCGTCGGACTTTCGCAGTCAATGGGGCGTTCGATCGCAGCTTGGATTATCAGCCATGGCGGGCGGCATGTCGTGCTGTCAAGCAGAAATCCCGAGAAGCCTGAGTCCGGTTGGGTTGAGGATATGGAGAGGCTGGGCGGAAAGATTACCGTGCTCGCCATGTAAGTGACTCCCCTGTCCCCGTCCAGCGGCATGTTGAAGAGAGAGGATGTAATCTAACTAGGACAAACAAAATCATAGGGACGCGTCCAACGAACAATCCGTCGATGGCGGGCTCGCCACTCTTCGCGACGTACACAACCTGCCGCCGGTGGGCGGTGTGGCGTACGGCCCGCTGGTGCTCAAGGACGCACTGCTGAACAACATGGACTTGGCGACGATGGACATGGTGCTCAAGTCCAAAGTCCCCGGAGCCAAGATCTTTCACGACCGGTTCTGCGATCCGAACAACGACCCGCTTGATTTCTTCGTCATGTTCTCGAGTGCCGCGTTGTTTGGTGGTAACCCAGGCCAGACGAATTACACCGCTGCCAACGCGTATCTCCAGGCGCTTGGGCAGTATAGACGAAGCAAGGGCCTCGCTGTAAGTGGTTTCAGTTCTATCCTGATGGAAGAATCGTTTGTATGTGTAAACTGAGATAAGCTAACAAAAAGGGGGGGGGAATAAGGCCTCCACAATTCACATCGGCGCGGTCATGGGTATCGGCTACCTAACCCGCAACAGCCGCGAAGCCGAGTTTCAACAAAAATCCGACGTCGACACCCTCGGCGAAGCCGAATTCTTAACCTTGTTCGCCGAGGCAGTTGTGTCGGGCCGCCGGGTTGCTGGCGTCAATGGCGTGCACGCCGAGAAGGTCATTGACATGTCAGAGACGGAGATTGGCAGCGGTATTCCCGCGCTGGAGTCGCGGCATAAGGAGACGATCAAGTTCTACAACGACCCGAGATTCGGGAACCTGAAGACGCCGGAGAACAGGAGCGATTCCGCTGACGCAGGCGGGGGCAAGATGAGTGTGAAGGAAATGCTGGCAATGGCGACGACAATGGACCAGGTCCGCGCGGCTATCGCTGGTGAGTTTTGCCTTCCAGACGGTTCGGCATCGTGGGTTGGTTGTGATGGATGGGGCTGACTGTGCAACGATAACAACAACAGAGAGCCTCTCCGACAAGATGCGCGGCGTGCTTCACATTCCGCCGGAAGAGAACGTCAACGCGGCTGTTCCCCTCTTGGACCAAGGTATTGACTCGCTCGGCGCCATCACCGTCGCTTCGTGGTAAGTAACAAGTTGACACATGGCACCAATGTCCCCTCCAACATAACAGAACACGCACACACACACACACACACACACAGTCCGCTAATCAGAAGCTTCACTCGCCACACGAGCACAGGTTCTCCAAACAACTCCTAGTCGACATTCCCATTCTACGCGTCCTTTCGGGCGCGTCGATCGACGACCTAGCAGCCGAAGGCGCCTCTCGTCTTCACGCCACCGCCATACCCCTAGTCGCCGACGCTCAGTGTGCTACAAACGCCTCCCCTGGCGACTCTTCCACCGAAACGTCCTCCGACGGCGCCTCGACCCCAATGACTTCACCGGACGAAGAGAAAGAGACCGTCGACGGCGTGGTTCGAAAGGCTCCCATGTCGCTGATCCAGCAGTACTCGTACACGCGGCAGGCTTCCCTTCCCGACGTCACAATTTCTCACAACACCATCGGAGTGATGATGGAGGGCAATCTCAATAAAGACAAGCTCGCGCAGGCCGTGATGGCAACCGTCGCACGCCACGAGATCTTCCGAACAGCCTTCCGCCCCTCGGAGTCGGAATCCTCCCCCACACCACTGCTGCACGTACTCTCCATCCCAACCTGGGGCCTGCGCTCCGTCTCCGTCGCGTCCCGCGCCGAGGCAGAGGCCGAGCTGGCCAAGCTGCAAAGGGAGCCCTACGACTTGGAAAAAGGCGAGACATTCAAGATCGCCCTCTTCACCTGGTCCCCCACGTCCCACCTCCTCGTGCTTGCCTACCACCGCCTGGCCGGCGACGGCTCCACCACCGAGAACCTCGTCGCGGAGCTTTCCCAGCTCTACTCGGGCATCACCCTCCCTCCTGCACCGCAGTACACCGACTATGCGGTCAAACAACGTGCCCTACTCTCCTCGGGGGGGATGGACGCGTCCATCGCGTACTGGACGGGTCTCTACACGCCCCTGCCCGCACCGCTTTCCCTGCTCCCCCTGCCCAGCGCGAAGAGCGCCCGCGGGTTGGTGAGCTGGGACCAGCACACCGCCATGTTCCGCTTGTCTGCCGTGCTTGCGTTCAGAATCAAAGAGTGCACCAAGAAACTGCGCACGACGCCCATGATGTTCTATCTTGCTGCGTACGCCGCGCTGCTTTTAGACCTTGCTAAGCAGGAGCAGGTGTCGATCGGTCTGGCGGACACGAACCGCTCGTCCGTGGCCGACCTGTCCACCATGGGCTACTTTGCAAACCTGCTGCCCCTGCGCCTCGTCTCCTCCGATACATTCACGGCCACCATCGAGTCCGCCAAGGAGGCGGTGCGGCAGGCCATGTCACACTCTGTCGTGCCGCACGACCTGGTCTCTTCTCGTCTGGGACTTGACAGCGTCTCACCGCAGGAGATGACGCACGCGCCGCTCTTCCAGGCCGTCTTCGACTACCGTCAAGGAGCTGCTGAGTCCGGCACTATCGGCGGTGCGAGTATCGTCGAAGTGCTGGCGAGCCGGGAGCGCACGCCGTACGATGTTGTGTTGGAGATGAGCGATGACCCGACCAAAGATCCTCTTGTCACCGTCAAGCTACAGAGAAGCCTGTATGGGAAGGGTGATGCCGAGGTGTTGCTTCAAAAATATGTTGGGTTGTTGACGACTTTGAGCAAGGGAGAGGCTACGTAACCCCCCACCCTACTTCCGAGCCATTGTTAATATCACTATCATCACCACCACTCCCACTACCTATTTCGCCAGGCTTGCCGCCCACTCATATGCGACTTTCGGCTACACTGGGTAATCTTGATGGGCTGGATATGGCCGGACTATATATATTTGCGGAATCCGTACTTTGCGCTCGCTGTACGTGGGCTACAGTTACGAAGGTGCTGTTAGGCAATAAAGGGACATTTTTTCTCTTGTGTTGCCGCTAGTTATTAACTAGGCCTATAATGCCTTGCCTTGCTGCTATAGAAGGGCCAGTTTAGATTTGAGGTTATCCTAGCCCTTCTGCACCTTGGTTAATAGGTAAAAAACAATATAGACATCTAGCCTACCCTAGCCTAACTATTTAAATAAATAAAATTAATACAATACTTTGAAAGACTAGTAAGGGGTTAATATAGTTTATAAGCAACTAGGTTATCTAAGTAACTAGGTTACTTTTTAACACTAATATATATACTATCTTTATTTATTTTTTGCTCTACTAGTAACTATAGTATAGTATTTAAATAAAACTAATTTTATCTAAGCGCTTAATACACTTAAAGTAAATCTAAAATTAAGTATATAAAAGGCTATATTAATCTATAATATATATTATATAACCCTCTAATATTAATATTATAGTGAACTAGTAAAATGTAATAGTTAACTATAAAACTAGAAATTAACCTTATGTAAAGAGAATACTATTCTTTAATATATTATTAACCTAGATTTATAAGTGTTTTTACTCTATATAAGTACTATTTAATAAGTAGCTAATTAACTTCTTTCTAGCTATAATATATAATATATTAAGACTAACTAGGTCTTAAGCCTTATATAATAATAACCTAAGCTAAAGAAATATTTTTATTAAAAAATCAACTATTAAAAAGTTCTTTCTTAAAATTCTAGTTTATATTATACCTAGATTTTTTATATAATATATAATTATAAATAAAGTATATATAATAATAATATTTATAACTTTAATAAGACTAGGTTTAGAATAAGTAAAATTTCTTTTAAAATAGTTATTATAGCTTCTAAATAATATAGTACACTACTAGAAGTATAATAAAGAAATTAAGAATAGATTATAGAAATCTAGAGTATTAGGTTATATAGCTATCTTATTTTACTAAATATTACTCTTATAAGTAAAGTTTATTTTAACTTTTAGATATATAATAGTCCTTTTTTACTTATCTAAGTAGTTACTTTTATAAAAATACTTTAATAATAAATAAGAAAGACCTAATATAGAAGATAAGTAAGTAAGCTATAGAAGTAAGTAAGCTACTTCTTTATTATACTAAAAAGACTATGTTTTTAGGTATTTTTAAACGTTAAAATTAAGCCTAAAACAGTTAAGTTTTAAGTATTATATATTAATAAGGCTTAAATTATAAATAAGAATATTAGAAATATTTTAATTCTACTATATATAAGCTCTAACTCTAGACTCTTATCTATAGGTCTAGATAAGACCTAAGTAAGAGATAGTATAGTTATAGTTAAATAGTAATTTATATAGTATCTTATTTAATAATTTAAATCTTAATAGTATATAACACTTAAAACTAGACCTTTTTAGGCCTAGTTTTAATTTTTAAGAAATAAATAAAAAAAAGTAGTCTTTTGAGTATAATAAGAAAGTATTTTACTTACTTATATAGCTTACTTACTTGTATTTAATATTAGAATAAGTAAAGTACTTTATTTTTATATAAAGAGTTATATAAAAAGTATATACTACTGTTTTATTCTTAATAACTATAAAGGCTACTTATTAGAATATTAATACTAATAATTATATAACACCTAGTTAAGTAACTATAAATAGTTTATAATTTAAGGTTAAAGGGCATAGACTAGTTATTAAGCCCTTAGTTATATTAAGAGGGGATTATACTTTTACTTAGCTAAAATAACTTAAGTTATACTTAGGCAGTATATAACTACTTATATAATAATAGTAAAGTAGACCTATTTAGTTACTTAATAAAAAGTTAATTTACCTCTATGTTTTACTAAGTATATATATCTATAAAGCCTATTTAATACTACTATTTTATTAATCTTAAGCTATATTAGAGAGAGTAAAGAATTATTATACTTTATATATTACCTTGTTTATTATATAAGCGTTAGCTATTTAATACCTAGCTCTTTAGTCTCTTAAAATAAGTATATAGTTAAAAATATAAAGTTCTTTATATAAGTATATATAGAATATATTATAAAAGAAAACTTTTTTTAACCTTTAATAAGGTATATAATAAAGTAATAACTATAGTATATATTTATATAAGCTTTAAAATAAGTAGCTGTATTTTATATAATCTTAAATATATAGTTTTATTATTAAATATAAAGCTTTATATACTAATACTCTTATATCCTTGTACAAGCTTACTAGAACTATAAGTATTAAAGACACTAAATAGTTTAATTAAATTTCTATAATAGTCTAATTTAAGTGTAAGTTATGTTATATAATACTTAAATAACTCTTTAATATTAATTAGAAAATATATATAGTAGTAAAAGAAGAAAATAATAGTAGAAGTATATAAATAGACTTTAATATAAATAGACTTTAATATAAATAGACTTAATATAAATAGACTTTAATATAAATAGACTTAGTTAAGTATTAAAAGTAAATAACTTAGGTATATACTTTTATAGGCCTAGAGTAAAAGATACTCTTAGATCTAGTAGCTACACTTTTAAGTATTTATTTATACTCTCTCTATAATTAATTAAAAAAATAAATAAATCTATATTTAGCTTTAAACTAGGTACCTAGTTTATAAAGAAGTATTTTAGCTTTAGAAAAGAGTATCTAGCTAGTTAAGTAAAAGTTTAAGAAAAGTAAAGCCTTAAGCACTATAAAAACTAAAGAAAACTAACTAAATTATACTTAGTATAATTTAAGTATATATAAAGTATATACTATAAGATATAGTATTTATCTTCTATAACTATAAAGAATATAGTTAAAAGACTTAGGTCTAAGTTCTCTATAGTTCTTAAAAATAAGTCTTATATTAAAAAATTTATAATAAGTATATACTAAGTCTACACTTAAAGATATAGTATTTACTCTTTATAACTATAAAAGATATAGTTAAAAGACTTAGGTCTAAGTTCTTTATAGTTATAAAAGATAAATATTATATTAAAAAGTATATACTAAGTATATACTAAGTCTATACTTAAAGATATAGTGCTTACTGTTAGAAGTATAAGAACTAAGAGTATCTCTTATACTCTTAATACTTCTTTATCTTATATTTCCTCTATTATAGAGGTTATATATATATAAGATATATATATATATAATCTACTAACTTAGTAGATTAATATATATATTAATTACATAAGTATATCTAATTATATAATTACTAAAAGATAGAAGAAGGTACTAGAATATCTAAGAAACCTCCTCTTAACTATAAGGGGTTAGTACTACCTTCTAACAAGTGTATAGTAACTTAATATAATTAATCTAGACTAAGGAAGAAAGGCTATTTATAGTAGTATATATATTATATACATAAGGTTAAATAGGGGTACTAACTAAGCGCTAACTAAGTACGCCTACCTTACTAGCTTATGTATTATAGTAGGTAAAGCCTTACTACACTTACTATAGCTTTAGCCTATAATATATGCCCTCTCCCTACTAGTAGTTAAAAAAATAAAGTTCCTAGGCCTTACTAGCCCTCTGTTATATATAACTATAGAAACTTAGCCTATAGTTATTACTTAGTGTAGACTACTTAACGTTTTTTCTTTTTTTCTTCTTTTTTTAGGCCTCTTCTTTAGTATTATAAGTATCCTTTTTTACTATTATATATTATTATTATAAAGTAATTATTTTACTAATATAGTCTTTATTAATTAAAGATAATTAAAATTAGAAGATACTAGTAAGTTACTTTTATAAGTATATATATATATATATATATAGACCTACTGTTAATTTATTATTAACTTATTATATTATAGCCTTTTACTTTTAGCTAAAGCCCTTTACCTAAGGGTAAAAAGTAGCTTATACCTAAGACTTTATTACTACTATTAACCTTAAGTATACCCCTATTATACTAGTCTATAAGTTAACTTATACTTATATTATAGTAGATTTATAACTAATATTAAAAATAGTCCTTTTCTTTTATACTACTTATAGTAAAAAAGGTCTACCTTTTAGTAAGTACTATCTAGTGTCCTCTTTACTAGTTATATACTAACTACTTAGTAAAGGACCTTATAGTGCCTTACTATACTAAGAATATAGTGTTTAGTAGTACTTACTATACTCTTTATATATTAAGTAACTAACTTTACTTAGAAAGTATAAGTCCTTTATTTTTTATATTTATTACTTTTTTTATATACTAATCTTTTATCTTAGATACCTATTACTTTTATAGGCCTTTATAAGGCTATAAATACTACTACTACTACTATTA